TCTTAAGCTCGAACTGCCTGGGCACATAGTAGCTGCCCCAGCGCTAATTGACAGGGGAACAGGACAAGGGGACGCGACGCGGAACGTCCCAAAGGACGCGCCAGGCGACGTGACAGGGACGCGCCATGGGACGCGCCGCGGGAGGTGCCAAGGGAACGCGCAACGGATCGTGCCAATGGACGTGCCACGGGGCGTACCAAGGGGAAGCGCCGCGCGACGTGCCAGGGGGACTCGCCACGGGATGCGCCACGGAACGTGCCAGGGATCGTGCCAGGGCTACGGTCCCTCGTAAACAACGGTGCGTCCACGCTCCCAGGGCTGCGCCCCATCGTGACCTAAGCTGCGTCCGCGCTCCCAGGGCCACGGTCCTTAGTAAATCACGCTGTGTTCGAGCTCCCTGAGCCCCCTGGGTATCCTGGGGCGCCCAGGCCGCTCGAGTTCTGCAGACCAAGCGTTTCGCTCGAGACATCCTGGAAGCGTCTCGCTCGAGACATCATGACCTGGGCACGTGAAAACAAGCAATTCACCTGAAACATCCTTTGAATGCTGGTTCACAATAGAGGAACAGTCTACCACAAAAGAAACGCTTCGCTCAATACATCCTCAATAGTGCATGCACAAAGAGCATTTCGTTCGGGACATCCTCAAATATCAATTCGCTGGCCCTACGCAACCTCGTTATTTACCGTAGAATACTTTCGCCGGCCCTACGCAAATCGAGGCCGGGGGTAATACTAATACAGGAGAACCCCGGGCTCAGGCCCTTCCGTGAAAATAAATATTTAGCTTTCCTCGCTTTGGGGCGCTACAGGCACGCGCGTTTTCATGTTGGTCCCGCTCTGGGTTGTTAACAACCCACGTATTGTAATACTTATTCCGGTCGGTCTGGGGGCGTTCGAAAACCTGCGCGTTTTCACTCGTGCCCCGATCTGGGGGGTTAGGAAGCCAACTATTTTCACGATTGCCCTGCTCTGGGCTTTTCGGTGCCGCGTAATCACGTTTGTCCTGCTCTGGCGCCTTTACGAACCCATGTGGTTTCACGCTTGCCCCGCCCAAGGGCGTCACGAACAAACGTGTCGTCACGTTGCCCCGCCCAGGTGCGTTACGACCCAAATGGTTTCACGCGTGTCCCGCTCTGGCGTTAGCAACCCATGCGCGTTCACGACTGCCCCACTCTAGGGCGTGAAGAACCCAACTTATCACGCTTGCCCCGCTCTGGGGCGTTAATGTGAACCCGCCTGCGTTCATACATTATCCAACCCACGCGTTTCCACGTTTGTCCCGCTCTGGGGCGTGAAGAACCCACGCGCGTTCATGTTTCCCCCCCCTGGGGCGCTAGGAGCCCACATGGTTTCACGTTTGTCCCGCTCTAGGGCATTACGTACCCACGACTTGTAACGTTTAGTTTTGGGCGTTGCTTTATCAAAATGAGGGAGGGGGCCAAACGGTCATTCACTGTCCGTGGGCGCGTGGCTGAAATGAGGTCCCGCGGTGCGGATTGTTCTCGTTCAACTCTTGCTACTGAACAAGAAGTATCGTTGATTCCCCCTCGATGATTGAGTTTGTCAATTGAAGTGCTTCCCCCGGGCCTCGCACCCAGTCATTTTTTCCAGGGACACTCACAAGGCTCAGACTGGGCTGTTGGCCCCCAGTTTACAACAGCTGCAATCATTCTAAGACTGTTCGCTCTTACTTGCCCATGTGTCATTCAAAACGAGTTCCCCGCGACCACGATACCCGCACTTTTCGTATTCGATCACACACCTTTGGGGGTGATTATTTCTCTTTGCGGGGGGCGGCGGGCTTTGACGGGCGGGCGAACCTGAACGGGCGGACAATCCTTCGCGGGTGCATATGCGCCCGCCATTGGAAGCGGCGCGGGACCTGCAAAAAGGAGGGGGGAACGAGAGAGAGTGGGAGGACAGGAGAATGAAGGACGAAGGAAGAAAGAAAACGCCAGGAGAGAAGAAGCGAAGAGGAGGGCGATGAATTAGAGGCAGAGGGGGAAAAAACGATGATAAGATAAGAGAAGTAGAGAAAGAGACTGGAAGCCGGCGGTAAACCGTCAACCTTGGTTACCGCGGGGGTTTCCGTAGAGTTTCCTCGCCACATATATATATATATATATATATATATATATATATGTGTGAATGGCATGCGAGCACGGCAATCTCGCATTCAGCGCGCGCGAGGTGTGCAGTTTCATGGAAATGTACTTGACAGCTCCTTACCTCGCCCACAGCTCGAGTTCAGTCGAGAGAAACTTCCACGCAAGAAAGTACACGACTCTAGCTGAATAGATGTTTGAATAATGTATGTCCATATTAAGCAGCTCTCGTCACGTGTAGAGCATGCCAGTTTGGTAGCTGTTTGCAGAGCGGAAATAGTTGTTCGGTCAGAGCTCTGGTATCAGACCGATCTCAGACGTCTCGATACTCCAGACTCGCACTCGTAAGATGCTCCATTCGAACGGTGTGCTTCCCAGCTTCGTAGCTCGCCTTCAGCTCGAACTCAATTGAGAAAACCAACACCGTCACTTCAAAATTCGAAGAATGCTAATAGTTGTTTAGTTGCAGCTCTGGTAGCAGACCGATCTCAGGCGTCTAGATGCTTTAGACTAGAGCTGCGGAGCACTTCCTGTCGATTGGTTCATATCTCAGCTCCGTAGCTAGCCTACAGCTCGAATAGGAATAAAGAAAAAAACATCTCTGGAAACATGATCGACCCACAAAAAAGGAAAGGCATATAGAAATGTGACGCATGGCAACGTTTTCTAAGACACCTGACTGGGTGACGGGCAAGTGCAATGCTGATTGTATCGATCTTGATGTAGCGTGCCGAGGGCTGTGCTGTGCTGCACCGTGCTGAATGGCCATGTGCCATGCCGAGGTTGTGCTCTATAGCGTCGTGGATCGAGTCTTCCTTTGCATCCGAATCCTGCCCGAACTGATCTGGAACTTAAGCTCGAGCTGCCTGAACACATAATAGCTGCCCCAGAGCTAATTGACAGGGGGACATGCCAGGAGGACGCGCCGCGAAACGTCCCAAGGGACGCGCCAGGCGACGTGCCAGGGGACGTGCCATGGGGTCGCACCGTAGGACGTGCCAAGGGGACGCGCTACGGAACGCGCCGATGGATGCGCCACGGAATGTGGCAGGGGACGCCCCACGCAACGCGCCAGGGGGGCTCGCCGAGGGACGCCCCACGGAACGTGCAAAGGAACGTGCCAGGTTGCAATGCTGATTGTATCGATCTTGATGTACCGTGCCGAAGTCTGTGCTGTGCTGTGCTGCACCGTGCTGAATGGCCATGTGCCCTGCCGCGGTTGTGCTCTGTAGCGTCGTGGATCGAGTCCTCCTTTGCATCCGAGTCCTGACCGAACTGATCTGGGTCTTAAGCTCGAGCTGCCTGAACACATAGTCTCTGCCGCAGAGCTAATTGACAGGGGAACATGCCAGGAGGACGCGCCGCGGAACGTCTCAAGGGACGCGCCAGGCAACATGCCAGGGGACGTGCCATGGGGACGCACCGCGGGACGTGCCAAGGGGACGCGCTACGGAACGTGCTGGGGACAAGCCTTTCGCTCGAGACACCCTGTCAAAATCCTCATTCTAGACATCCGCCTGAGCGACCTGGACACGTGAAAACACAAGTTTCGCTCAACACATCCTCAACACATTCTCATGCTAGACATCCGCCTGGGCGAACTGGACACGTGGAAACAAGTAGTTCGCTCGAGACATCCTCAACACATCTTCATGTGAGACGTCGGCCTGGGTGACCTGGGCACGTGAAAACAAGCGTTTCGCTCGAGACGTTTTCAACACCTCCTCATTCTGGACATCCGCCTTGGTGACCTGTACACGTGAAAGCAAACGTCTCGCTCGAGACATCCTCAACACATCTTCATGTTAGACATCCGCCTGGGCGACCTGGACACGTGAAAACAAGCGTATCTCTCGAGACATTCTCAACACATCCTCATGCTAGGCATCCGCCGGGGCAACCTGGATACGTGCAAACAAGCATCTCGATCGAGACTTCCTCAACACCTCCTCATTCTAGACATCCGCCTGGGCGACGAGGACGCGTGAAGCCAAGCGTCTCGCTCGAGACATCCTCAACAAATCCTGGCGCTTGACCTCTGCCTGGGCAACCTGGAGGCGTGAAACCAAGCGTCTCGCTCGAGACATCCTCAAGACCTGGGCATGTGAAACCAAGCATTTCACTTGAGAGATCCTCATAACACAAAACAAGCGTTTCGCTCGAGACATCCTTTTGATTCGCCGGCCCTACGCGACCTCGCTATTAATCGCAAAAGGAATTCGCCGGCCCTACAGCCGTCAGATCTGGCGGTAACCAGCTAAAAGAGAACCCTGGGCCCACGCCCTTTCAGGGAAAAATTGCAGAGTCAAAAGAGTCCTTCAGTCGCAAATCTGGTAGCAGACTGATCCGAACCGTCTCGATACTACAGGCGGATGTTCCCAATTATTTGCCGTTGAACGGCGTGCCCCCAAGTTTCGTAGCTTGCCTACACCTCGAATTAAAAGAAAACCAACCTTGCCTCTCAAAAAAGATGAAGGAGTGCAAACAGCTGTTTGGTTGAAGCTCTGGTAGCAGGCCGATCCCACGCGTTTAGATACTTTGGGCTGGCCCTTCTCCTCAACTCTTGCGATGAACGCGCACGTCAGCTCAGTAGCTCGCCTAAAGCTCGAATTACATAGAGAAAACCATCATCGCCTCTCGAAACAATTGCGGAGTACAAATCGTTTGTTTGGTTATAGCGCTGGTGGCAGGCCGATATCCCGGTTTGGACTGGCGCTTCTGGTGATGTTATAACGATTGCTGTGCCGAACAGCTTTGTAGCTATCGTCCAAACGATCGACCTGAGATCAAGATGGCGAGCGGGAATAAGATCAAAAATGGGGGAACAAAAATACTAGAGCTCTAACAAAATGTTAAGTTCGTCAACACCGGAAGCGCGCGGTAAACCGTCAACCTTGGTTTTGCTGTCTTTGCGGTCGACTGCGCGGGCCGCCTGGCACAGTCGCAAGCAAGAAACGGGCAACATACAGAGTGAGCCAAGCCGCCCACCACAACAAGTGCGAACGTTGGGAATGCGAAGCTCCTATCCAGAACAAGTGACAGTCAGGCGAAGCTCGTACTCCAACACGTGAGCACGCACGACAACACACACAAGCATGGCATGAGACAACGCAATCACACATCACAGCATATCAAGATCGAAGTATGTGGTAAGAACCCGTGGATGAACATCAATGATATGTTCAATCGCCGACATATTGGCATCAGTCACTGTAGCATTGTTGTCGATAGAGAAGGCAGCACTATACACCTCCATCCACACAACATCTCTGGAGCTCGGCTTGCGACAAGTCCGCGAGACACGACCGACATCAATCCAGCAACCGACTCCGACTCCAGCCGTCGACACACCACCATCGAAGACAATCGATGGCACAATACCTGGGAAGACTAGAAACATCATGGGGCCCCTGCCCTATACGATCCTGAAAACCGTCATTGCCCGAGCGGCCAGCATGGGTGAGCACGTCCGCCCGCGTGTTCCATCCTTTCAAGCAATATTCGATCATGTCACGTCCAGGAGCAAAAGGGCGAATGAGGAACATAAAACACATACCATCCAGGCGGTTAATTATTCTGTCAACCCTACGTTGGGAATCCATGTTCGCCACCTGCCAGTATCCCTGAGATCACGAGACAACCGAGACACTATCACCATGAATGCTTACCAGGACCCCAAAAGACTCAAGATCCCAATCAACATCCTCCCATTTAGACACATGTACAGCCAGACGTTTAGCCAATCGATCACCAGCCAGTTGCGAGCCCTCCGTGACCTGAAATTCCCTGACATTCTGCTGGGTCTCAATGTGGACCTCCCCTAAGGCCCGAGGATGACCAGGACATTTAGCACGAATCTGGAAACAAGCATCGCGCGAGAGCATACATGCGAGGCGAACTGCTCGAAGGCCCCCGGTGTCGCACGAAAGCCTCCCCACCATTTCGGTCCGAAGAACTCAAAGAAGGAGTAGGACCAACGCCGTTGACCAGTAGCGAACCCCCCACCACGTTGACGTTAAAATGCACTGGACTCACGAAAGCAGAAATTCATGCGCAGGAACTCGGACGCATCCGTACGAATACGATCCCACATCACACCATACGCACACAGACAGGCACGCACATCACGCCACGGTCGAGCAGCATTCCTCCACTCATCATAGATATCCGCATCAACAACGCGAATGAACTCACCCACATCCGTGGCCCTTTTCCAGGAAGCACGAAGAAACCTCTGCACCAGGGACGCAAATGCCATTTCCTGACACTTCCTCCGAGCTTCCATATACTTCCTCCGACCCCACGAAGTAACATCATCCACAGGTTTCTTCGAACGAGTGCATGCGCTGGAGCGAATGGTTGTCCAGCGTCATCCTTTCAATCCCAAACAAAACAATTCCCTGCACCTTCTCCTGATAACTCCAAAATTTACCCCGCACACTTACAGCAGCATTACGGAAACCATTAACCATACCGAAGACACTGTTGCGTGCCATGGACAAACGATACCCAACATCGGGGCGGGCTGGCGCATTGAACTCGGAGTGGATTTCGACGCCGAGCACATTCATAGGAAATACTTTCCGAAAGCGCAATGCCTCAGGCATGTCGGACATGATACCTCCAGCGCCGACGGCTGCGCGAGGCGCTGCGCGATACCTTTTCCTCCGAGCGGTCAAGAAAGAAGCACGGATATCGATCAACAAATCTTCAACTGCAAGAATCACGCCGTCTCCGTCGCAACGTGGTGCGACACCAGAGGAAATAAAAAGAAGTGATGACACATTCCACGCCATACCGAAGGAAGGAACGGTAATGTTAGATCGTGAAGCATGGCTCTGAGATCCTGGACAGAGCCGGCTACAAGATAGGCGTTATCCGCCCACAGAGAGTAACTGACGAGCAACTCCTTTTGTGCAGACCCGAACAATCCTATCACTTGGTAGCCCAATCCCTTCACCTCCCACGATCGAAAAACATCGGCCCACATCGCCACGAGAATCCGGTTAAACACCAGGGGGCCCTCAGGGCAACCCGTACGTATACACGTATCCAAATGGAGTCCAGGAATTTCCATCCCGTCCACAATCACCGCCCCCATCGCGCCACATAACGGAGCCAAGAGAGCAGATTGCAGGTAAGGAGGTACATGTGCACATTGTAGTGCCTTCCTCACGTTGGCTAAACTACAATGGTCAAACGCCTGTTTAATATCCGCATTCACGATATAGATACTCTCACTCTTACCCCAAGAATCCCCATGTTGTGCCAGAGATTTAGACAGCTAGTTATTTCCCAAGTCTCGCGACCCCCCTGGAACCGGTAGACGCCCAACCACCTTGGTTACCGACGGGAACTCGTAGAGACTCCTTGCCACATATGTAAAATGGCATGCGAGCGCGGCAATCTCGCATTCAGTGCGCGCGAGGGTGCGCGGTTTCAAAGAAATGTACTCGACAGCTCCTTAGCTTGCCCACAGCCCGAAATCAGTTGAGATAAACACCCTCGCAAGAGAGTACACGACTTAAGTTGAACAGATGTTTGAAGAATACACGTGAATATTCAGAAGCTCTCGTCACGCGTAGGGCATGCCAGCTTGGCAATTGTTCGCAGAGCACAAACAGTTGTTCGGTCGCAGCTCTGGTAGCAGACCGATCTCAGACTCTCGATACTTCAGACTAGCGCTCGACGGTGTGCTCCCCAAGTCCATAGCTTGCCTACAGCTCGAATTAAAAAGAGAAAACCAACACCACCACTTCGAAATTTGAAGAGTACAAATAGTGTTTCGGCCGCAGCCCTGGCAGTAGACCGATCTGAGGCGTCTAGATGCTGTAGACTAGCGCTCCTCAGCATGTCCTGTTAAGTGGTGCATATCTCTGCCCCGAAGCTAGCCTGCAGATCGAATTCCGTAGAGAAACGAACATCATCTCTCACAACAAATTGCAGAGTCCCAATACTGCTTCAGCCGCAGCTCCGGTAGCAGACCGATCACAGACGTTGCGATACTGCACGCGGATGCTCCTTATGATTTCCTGTTGAACGGTGTGCTTTTTAGCTCCATGGCTTGCCTACAGCTCCAATAGAGCAGAGAAAACCAGCACGGAGGACATGCCAGGAGGACGCGCCGCGAAACGTCCCAAGGGACGCGCCAGGCGACGTGCCAGGGGACGTGCCATGGGGTCGCACCGTAGGACGTGCCAAGGGGACGCGCTACGGAACGCGCCAATGGATGCGCCACGGAATGTGCCAGGGGACGCGCCAGGCGACGTGCAAGGGGGACTCGCCAAGGGACGCCCCACGAAACGTGCCAAGGAACGCGCCAGGTTGCACTGCTGATTGCATCGATCTTGATGTACCGTGCCGAAGTCTGTGCTGTGCTGCACCGTGCTGAATTGCGATGTGCCATGCCGCGGCTGTGCTCTATAGCGTCGTGGATCGAGTCCTCCTTTGCATCCGAGTCCTGACCGAACTGATCTGGATCTTAAGCTCGAGCTGCCTGAACACATAGAATCTGCCGCAGAGCTAATTGACAGGGGGACATGCCAGGAGGACGCGCCGCGGAACGTCTCAAGGGACGCGCAAGGCGACATGCCAGGGGACGTGCCATGGGGACGCACCGCGGGACGTGCCAAGGGGACGCGCTACGGGACGTGCTGGGGACAAGCGTTTCGCTCGAGACATCCTGTCAGAATCCTCTTTCTAGACATCCGCCTGAGCGACCTGGACACGTGAAAACAAACGTTTCGCTCAACACATCCTCAACACATTCTCATGCTAGACATCCGCCTGGGCGAACTGGACACGTGAAAACAAGTAGTTCGCTCGAGACATCCTCAACTCATCTTCATGTGAGACGTCCGCCTGGGCAACCTGGACACGTGCAAACAAGCATCTCGATCGAGACTTCCTCAACACCTCCTCATTCTAGACATCCGCCTGGGCGACCTGTACGGGTGAAACCAAGCGTCTCGCTCGAGACATTCTCAACACATCTTCATGTTAGACATCCACCTGGGCGACCTGGACACGTGAAAAACAAGCGAATCTCTCCAGACATTCTCAACACATCCTCATGCTAGGCATCCGCCTGGGCAACCTGGACACGTGCAAACAAGCATCTCGATCGAGACTTCCTCAACACCTCCTCATTCTAGACATCCGCCTGGGCGACGAGGACGGGTGAAACCAAGCGTCTCGCTCGAGACATCCTCAACAAATCCTGGCGCTGGACCTCTGCCTGGGCAACCTGGAGGCGTGAAACCAAGCGTCTCGCTCGAGACATCCTCAAGACCTGGGCACGTGAAACCAAGCATCTCACTTGAGAGATCCTCTAAATTCTGGTCCCCAGGAGAGGACAACCTATAACACAAAACAAGCGTTTCGCTCGAGACATCCTCAACTTTTGCATACCCCCCCCCCCCCCAAAAAAAAAACAACGCTAGGGACATCCTGAAATTTTAATTCGCCGGCCCTCTTCCCACTCGTTAGTTATCGCCAAAGAAATCCGCCGGCCCTCTTCCCGTCAGATCCGGGGGTGAACCTCTAGATACTCCCGACTGCTGCTGCTCAGCATTTCCTGTCGATCGGCGTGCATCTCAGCTCCGTAGCTAGCTCACAGATCCACTTCAATAGAGAGAACAACATGATGGACCCACGAACCCGGAAAGGGATATAGACATGTGCAGCATGGACACGTTTTCACGATATCCAACTGGGCGACACCTCACGAAACATCCCACGAGACACCCCGCGAAACATCCCAGGAGACACCTCACGAAACAACCCACGAGACACCTCACGAAACATTCCACGAGACACCCCGTGAAACATTCCACGAGTGTGGTCGTGCTGGGGGTGTGGTCGTGCTGGAGGGTGTGGTCGTGCTGGGGTGTGGTCGTGCTGGGGGGTGGTCGTGCTGGGGGGTGGTCGTGCTGGGGGTGGTCGTGCTGGGGCGTGGTCGTGCGTGGTGCTGCGTGGTCGTGCTGGGGTGTGGTCGTGCTGTGGTGAGGTCGTGCTGGGGTGTGGTCGTGCTGCTTGCTGGGGTAGCTGGTCGTGCTGGGGTCGTGCTGGGGTGTGGTCGTGCTGGGGTACGTGCTCGTGCTGGGGTGAGGTGCTGGGGTCGTGCTGTCGGCGTGCTGGGGTGAGGTCGTGCTGGGGTCTGTGGGGTCGTGCTGGGGTGTGGTCGTGCTGGGGTGTGGTCGTGCTGGGGTATGGTCGTGCTAGGGTGGGGTCGTGCATTTCGCTCGAGACATCCTGCCAAAATTCCAGGAAATCGCACAAAAACAAACGAATTAGTCGAGACATCCTCGGAATTCCTGCGCGAGGAGCGCTTTTCCGTGTCGCGGTCGGCTCTGCAAAACAAGCGTTTCGCTCGAGACATCCTCAAACTCTGCGGAACAGCGTTTCGCTCGAGACATCCTCAAGAAATTCTGAAAAACAAGCGTTTCGCTCGAGACATCCTCAAATTTTAATTCGCCGGCCTCCTTCGACCTCGTTATTTATCAGGGAAAAAATTCGCCGGCCTCCCTCAAGTTGGCACCGGGGGACAGGTTTACCCACTAAAGAGAACCCTGGGCTCGATGCATTTCGGGAAACAAAAAAATTCGCCGGCCTTTCAAGTTCACCGGGGGACAGGTTTACCCACTAAAAGAGAACCTGGGCTCATGCCCTTTCCGTGAAATTTTATTTCGCGCGACCTTCGACTGTTATTATCAGGGTAATAAAATTCGCCGGCCTCCTTCAAGTTGGCACCGGGGACAGGTTTACCCAATCTAAAGAGAACCCTGGGCCCAAAAAGTGGCCCGCACCCTGTGATTTATCGATCGGGATTTAAAAAACAAGCGTTTCGCTCGAGACATCCTCAAATTTTAATTCGCCGGCCTCCTTCGACCTCGATATTTATCAGGGAAAAAATTCGCCGGCCTCCTTCAAGTTGGCACCGGGGGACAGGTTTACCCACTAAAAGAGAACCCTGGGCCCAGGCCCTTTCCGGGAAAAATATAATAATTTTCCAGTCGCAGATCTGGTAGCAGACCGATATCAGACGTCTCGACACTGTAGCTGAATGTTCCTGATCATTTTCTGTTGGACGGTGTGCTTCCCAGCTCCATAGCTTGCCTCTAGCTCGTATTAAATGAAGAAAACCAACCTCATCTCTCAAACTATTTAGAAATAGCTGTTTGGTCCGAGCTCTGTAAGCAGACCGATATCAGGCATCAGAATACTTCAGGCCAGCGCTCCCGATGATGTTCTTTCGACTGCTGTGCCGAACAGCTCCGTGGCGCAAATGCAGCTCGAGTAAAGTTAAGAAAACCGACCGCACCTGTCAATATGACACTCAACACCCGATCCCGCCCCGATGCTTTTTGATAATAATATCCACCCGATCGACCTGAGATCGAGATGGCGAGAGGGAATAAGATCAACGATAAGGGCAAACAATAAAAGAGCTGAAACTAATGATTGGATTTCGAAAACATAAAATTCAACCGACCAAAATTATGCAAAATTTCCGTCGGAAATTGTCGAGCCAACTGGCCCGCCAGCGTTTTCAAATTACTCGTACGCTTCGCCGCTTCGCTCTTAGGGAAGCTCCACGAGTCACTTCCGTCGAGACTGTTCGATTCAACTAACCCGCCAACGCTCTCGAATTGCAGGCACGGCGGTAAACCGTCAACCTTGGATACCGCCGGGGAATCGTAGAGCTCATTGTCACCGGACCCTTGTCTTGTTATTTATTCAAATCTGAATTACAATGATCACACCCCTGGTATGTGGATACATACATGTATTTATATCTAGATTTAAATGATTTCCATACACCTCATCTGTCCGCATAATTT